TACATGAATATTTTTAAGCATTTAAACAAAAATACCATGCTATATGTATTGTTTAATAACGTTTTATCTTTTCACTCAAAAAATAACATATATGTCTTTCCAAGTCAGTATATGTGTTTGAAAGGCCTTCTCAAAGATTTAGAAAATAATCTCATATTTAGATATTTTACATTTATGCTCTTAATGTGCTGGAATTTGCTATGTAGTGAATATTGTGTCCCCTTAAAATTCAGCTTGAATTCCTAAGCTTCCTTTGGGAAGCAATTAGGTCAAGAGGATGTAGCCCTCATAGGTGAGACTGGTGCCTTAAAAGACAAGACATGAAAGAGCTGATCTCTGTCTCTCTCGTGTGAGGACACGGTAAGAAGCTGCCGTCTGGCTGATTCTGTGCCAGTGGAAATCTGGCAGAACTAAGGAAAATCAACGTTTGTTCTTAAAGTCACCCAGTTTATGATATCTTGTCATAGCAGCCCATGTCAATTAAGAGGGAATTTATATTTATATTATGTGTGATATAAGGATGTTCTTTCAAATGAATATGAAGACCATTTACCAAAATTTTTAAGATTGGTACTAGAAAAATAATATGAGCTCACTGTAGAAAATCACGAGAAAAAGAACAGAAAAAAGTTCACTTGTATTTCTACCACCAATGAGCTAAAAAGCCCATGACTATTTGATAATTTACTTAGTTTTAGTTATTATTTCTAATTTTTCACCATTGTAAACAATGCAGTTTTAACTTCTTTTTATATTTAAATGCTCAATGTTTCCTCAGGCTCAAGTTCCAGAATGCACTTACTGGTTTAAATTATTTAAAGATTTTCAAATTGCTTTCCAGAAACGATAGCCTAATTCTTACATTCTTAAATATGATTGTTCATCTCACTAAGCCTTTTGGTAATACACATGGAAGTTAAATCGTACATGCCTTGGGACCAGTAATACCACACTCCATGGAATTCATCCCTATAAATTATTCAAGAATACATCCTCAAATATTTATTTTTAAGATCTTGTTGTAGACACTATTTGCTAAAGCAAAAAGTTTTTAGGGTGAATGACAAAATAAGGGGATTGGCTAAACCTCTATAATGGCATATAGTTATTACAAGTAAATGGGAGAAGAACTTTATATTGCAAGAGAAAACAGGTTTATAAACTTAAACACACTAAAGCAAAAACTTGGTTCTAGGAAGTCTAAAAATAGGTATTTTTGTATAAATAAGAATATGGGTATTTTAATCTTTAATTTTGCTTTTCTTTCCTCCAGCTCTTGGGCTTAGACAATTCTCTTGCCTCAACTTCCCAATATTTTTCATTTTCTAATAATAAGAATGCAAATATGTTTGTAATTTCCCTTTTATAATAATATATTTTCTCCAATTTTAATATCAGGTGTATCCAGATTAAGAAGAATGATTTTGAAGTATTTCTTTTTCTATTGTATATAAGATTTGGCATGATCTGTTTTTTTGAAATTATCTTTTACTTTTATTTATATTAGTTGTCTATTTGTTTGAGACTTTGAAAAAAAACAAAATAAGTTAACTGATCCAAGTATTCTATAATAGACATACTCCTATCTGACAATGCGAATGTTACTTTCTTTGCATTATTACTATTATTATTGCTTAATATTTTGTTGCAGCAATCATCTGATTTCTTTTCTGAATGTATTTATCTTCGTTCTTTATGAGGTTTTTGTTCTCAGTCCTTATGTTAAACATTGTTACTGTCATTAAATTTGGCCTTTTTAATTCTGTGAAGGCAAAAGTGGAAACCTAATGTACAAATGTATAAGTAAGGAAAATAAAAATAATAATAATAGTAAGAAGAATGCATTGCCTCTGAAATGAAAAACAAATGTTTTACCTTGTTCCTTAGACATGTGTCTTTTCTTGAAAAATGAGATAAATGTGGCTTGGAGGCCTGATTACCTTGATTATCAGGTGAGTTAATATTACAATCAGATTCCTAGATCACCCAAATCAAAAAATAAAATAAAGTTAGATTTTTAACTATGGAATTTTTCTGACAACAAACCAATATTCAACAAAATGGAAAATAAGTAAAAACACGGGATAGAATTCATAAAGTATAGAAAGGATAATATCTGCCAGTTTTACTGAAGAAGCTAGCAAGATGTTTTAGCTGGAGAAGTAAAGTGCTGAATCAGGGCAGCTCCACATCTTTTAATTGTCTGACATGTTCAACTTTAGAGAGAAAAATGACATCTACTTTTAAGAAGTGGAGCAGTATTGTATAAAATGTTCTTTTACCTTTGGCAATGACTTTAAAGCCTACTCTTTTCATCTTATTCCATCAGATAAGACTTTTCTAGAGATATAGAGCTCTCTTGTAATCTGTATTCCCATGAAAGTCGAATAAAAAAGGACAATGTGGCCAGGTGCGGTGGCTCATGCCTGTATTCCTAGCACTCTGGGAGGCTGAGATGGGTAGGCTGCCTGAGCTCACAGGTTCAGACCAGTCTGAGCAAGTGTGACACTCCGTCTCTAAAAAATAGCCAGGCATTATAGCAGGTGCCTGTAGTCCCAGCTACTCCGGAGGCTGAGACAAGAGTATTGCTTGAGCCCAAGAGTTGAGGTTGCTGTGAGCTATGACAGCACAGCACTCTACTGAGAGCAACAAAGTGAGACTCTTTCTCAAAAAAAAAAAAAAAAGAGAGAGAAGAAAAGAAAATAAGGACAATGAATGGATAAAGGGATTTGTTCTGTTTAGTTTGGATTTGGCTGAGGGGCTACACTTGGGGATCTGGAGGGCCTCATGTGGCCTTGTAGCCGCACTGTAGGGACACCCTCATAGCTGCCAACAGTGGTGACTCTGGGCTAAATCATTTCTTAGAGACGATGAGTAAGATCCTAAGCTGATCACGACCTCAAACAGGGTCAATGAACTCAGTACAAACAGAACCTGTGGGTGTTGCTTTCTTCCAGTAAACTACCAACAGCAGCTCCAACGTTGAAACATTTTCTTCAAAACCAAATGATAAAAACTAATACTCAAAACAAAGCCAAAAAGGCATCAGGGTTTTCTGAAACATTTTCTGAATCAAAGAAAGATTATATCATTTTTAAGTTAACTGTCAGCATCTAACTCTTGGAGAATTTAACTACTTATTCTAAGAGGCGTTTACTACATCTGGCAGGTAGAGAGAGGACTTAATAAATGATTTCTAGCTTTGTTCGGTTTATTTTTGGTGGAAGATTTTCATATTTCTGTTACTGATTAGTATAAAAAATAGTTAACCCAGAAGATGGAGTGTGGAGTTCTGCCAGCATAATGAGTCCCTCTTCCTGCAGGATGGTGAGGCGCCTTGGTGAAACATGGCTAAGAGCTTAAAAAGCAAGCAAAACAGAGATGCATGCTGGAAAACGAGGGAAGAATGTCTCAAAGGTGCTTAGAGGACCTACTATCCTCGCACAGACATGGTGTTTTAGGAACGATGTTCAAGAGATAGCAACTGTTGTGGTAAGCAAATGGTGCCAAGAAAAAGTGCAGTAAGAGGTGAAAAAGAAAGAAATATGATCTTACAGTGGAGGAAGTTCACAGTAACACAGAGGGCATTCTAGACCCGTGTGGACAGGACTTGGTAGGTGTGAACTCAAGGCAAAGCAAGAGAAAGGGAAAACAAAAGCTAAAGTTTCAAAGGCAGCTAAGGGTTTGGTTCAGCACACTCCTAAAGCCAGGTGGTGTGGTGGGCACCTGGAGTCCCAGCTACTCAGGGGGCCGAGGCAAAAGGATTGCGTGAGCCCAAGAGTTTGAGGTTGCTGTGAGCTGTGACACTTCAGCCCACAGCCCTCTACCAAGAGTAACAACGTGCGGCTCTGTCTAAAAAAAAAAAAAAAAAGTACATGGGATAGATTTAGGGTTCAAACACATAAACTGATTTCAGATTTCTCCAAGTGAAAATGCCCCACCTCTACCTTTTAACTTGGCTTTTTTCTTTGAGTCCAATACAACTCAAGGTTTCCTTTGGGAACTTGAGTGAAATAATTTCTTTTTGTTAAATACAAGCTATACTGATTTTTTTGATGCTGTGTGATATTTGAGATTACCAGACATCAAAATCCTGTCAAATATTACTGTGGCTATCATTGTTTACAACTTGGTAATTATAGTTGGTAAAGATAAAATAAAGAATGTTATATTGGTACATTTGAGAGAACTAATAGTTAAAGACAGGTATTATGCCATCACATCATTTTTATTTATTTACTATTATTATTTTTGCAGTTTTTGGCCGGGGGCTGGCGCCCTACTCTTTTGAGCCACAGGCACTGCCCATCACATCATTTTTAAATGTCACTGACTCTTATGAGCAATAAGTTATTTACTGCATAATAATGTCTTGGTTAATAATAGTCTGCTTACATGGCAGTGGTCCAGTCCTATAAGATATTTCACTGTATTTACACAGCACCTTTCTACGTTTAGATCACAAAGACTTACCATCTGCCAATAGTTTTCGTATAGTAACATGCTATGCAAGTTTGTAGCCTGGGAGCAGTAGGTTACATCCTGCAGCCCAGGGATGTGGGTAAGCCACACTATTTAGGTGTGTGTATGTTTACTCTATGATGTCCCCACAATGATGAAATCACCTAACAACACACAGAAAACCAGACTGTATCCCTGTTTTTAAGTGGTGCTGACTGTATTCATTTGGGGTTTTGATTTTATGTCAGAATAAAATATATCTTATAAGGGAGAAAAAAGTGGTTAGGATGCTTTCATTAATTTAAAATGGAATAACAGAAAATCAGATGTATTACTACTTTGTTTTGTTATAGAGGGGGGAGTTTAGCAGGAATAAGATGAGCAAATGAAAATGTATTTCTGGAATTATAAAACTTACAGATATCATAACATTAAGGGCCATTTCCTTAAAAGGTTTCAAATGTTATCTGAATTCAGAAGTATATTAAGGATTTAAATAGTACATTTATAATAATTTTTCATTTCATAGATATCATTGTGCTTAGGTCTTCACAGGGCCACAACTTGAGATATATATTAATGAAACACAGTGATTCAAGAAGTATAGAGTTAGATTAAATATAGAGCAGTTTAAAATGTGAAAGACAGAAGTCATTCAAATGCATACCATGTAAACTTCTCTACACAGGCTTTAGAATGAAAAATTACAATAGCCAGTCATTTCCACAATGTAGATGAAATTTCTTTTTCTCAATTACCTGATTAACATCCTATTTTCTCTTACATATGAATTTAAAACAAAGTCTTTAGAATTTGACTTACCTCTGACTCGGAATCATTATTAGAAGGCTGAGAAAGACTTGCTGCATTTAAACTGTGCAGGGATAATTCTACACTTTCCTGGGACTGTGAAGACCCCACTTCATGCGAGTGATGAGATTCATCCCCTGACTCATCACTCTTTAGCTGAGACACATCAGACATGCTGCTCTCAGGCAGAGAGGTGGGGGAATCATTCTTTCTTCGGAACTGCTGTAAGGCTGTGCTTGGAGAGGGGCTCGGAGTCCTAGAAAAATCTCCAAGACCTCCAGACCAGCTAAAACAACTTCTTAGTGTCCCCAAAGTAGGTGGTGAAATGGTCCTTGTGAAGCGGCTGGTCTTAAAAGACTGAGAGTCTTCCTCAGCAAACACTGTTGCATCCTCTGGACTCTGATCACTTGAAGCATGTGCTACATTTCTATCAGCCAGCTTCTTGCCTTCTAGCTCTGGATGATCTGATTCATTCAGATTAGTCTCTCTATCCTTGACAGCAATTTCATCTAGAGGTTGGCTGCTCACCTCCTTTGCTACACAGTCAACAAAATCCTGAGAACTGCAAAAAAACCTAACAGAAAAAAACAACCAGAATGGATAAGTATTAAATATTTTAGAGTTCTCTCAGAAAGGTGTCAAGATTCGAAATAGAAGGGGCTGGTTTCTTTTTAAAAACGGGTCTCACAAATATATAATTTCATAAATAAAGGCATAAAAATCTTAAATTTTATTCCTAGTTTAGATTTTGATTATGCCAACATTCACTCATTTAAAAATTTATTTATACAATGAATTTT